AATGCCTTTGCTATCCAGAACAATAGGGGAGTGATCAGAACCCATGGCTGGAGGGGAAAATTGAAGAGAAGAAGGGTATTTACTGTCCCATTCAGAGCAGATAAGAAACCTATCTAACCTTGCTAAAGAGGGAGATTCACGTTTGTTAGACCAAGTAAAAGATCTGCCTGATAGAGGAAGGTCTATAAGGCATAATTTGTTAACAAGGTCTTTGAAAGAATTTGAATCCCTATATGAACCACTTCTGCCATTTCTTTCATCAGCATATAATGTAACATTGAAATCACCACAAAGAACCCATGCTCTTGTGAAAGAGGTTCTAATCCAATTCAACTCTCACCAACAAACTTCCCTATCTTCCCTATCATTGGGAGCGTAGACCGATGTGAAAGAAAAGCTCCAATTTGATTTTTTATGAAGGAGAGAAACAGTGACAGAGAAAATGCCAATATAAGATTTGAGTAAGGAAAAAGAGTCTGACCAATACAATATTAAATTAGAAGAATTCTTATATGATGGGTATTTTCTACCCATAATTACAATCCTCACCAAAGTAAACCTATCCAGCATTAGAAAATTCTCTGAAGAGCAGGGATCTCATCCAAGAAGGAAGCGCCGGTCAACTTCCTCACTCCTCCTGGAGAGGCTAGATCTACTTTAAGGCCGGCAGACGTTCTTGTCTACAGTTGGAGCGGAGGGAAGCACGCTTGTGTTGATCTTACGGGGGTGTCTCCGTTGGTGGGGTTTGGTAATGGAGTGTTCACGGTTGGGCATGCAGCGGATAGGGCGGCAGAGGCAAAGGTGGGCAAACATGATCAAGCTTGCAAGGACAATCACCACAGTTTCATCCCGTTCGCGTTCGATATGTTTGGTTATCTTGCAGCTGATGCAGCGGAGTTCCTTAGGAGGGTACAAAAATTTATGAATAGGAATGTGGCTACAACAGGATCAGCTGACTACGTGTTTCGTCGGTTGGGTTTTGCTATTCAGAAAGGATTAGCGGCGCAGCTTATTGTCAGCTTGTCATCATCACATGTATAATATTTTCTATTCTATTTACAATAAATTTTTTGGTAATCTTAGATCAACGATACTTATCTTATGTTATTTCAATATCAAATTAGAATTCTTATATAATGGGTACTTTCTATCTATAATTAGAATCCTCATCAAATTAAATCTATCCAAAATTAGAAAACTCTAATTATAATCAAAATTTTGGTAATCTTAATCAAATCATAATTATCCATAAGTAAAAGAAATCAAACAATAATATTGTTAATTCTATTTAATTATCCATAATAAAAAATTTGATAATAACATTTTTAATTCTTTTGTCTTTTATATATAGGAGGGATTAATGGTTTATTATTAATCTTATATTTAAAAAAATTGACACATAGATGCCTTTATTTTTTTTAATATATCAATTTCACTAGACCTTCGATAAATTTAGCCATTTGGCGCTAAGCCTACAAATTTTCTAAAATCCTTGATAAGTTTTAGGATTTTAGAAAATTAGTAAAATATATTAATTTTTTATACTTAACTCATAAGGGCATTACCCCATAATATTACACTAACGAACATTATCTTCAAGGCTCTCAAATCATTTCTATTTGCAGACTAGCCCATAAAATTACAAACAACTACTAAAAAACAAAAATTATAAATAGCCCTCCGATAAATATAAAACTATAGACAACCCCTTGAAAAATCTGCAATCACAAAAACTCATTGTAATTCTAAAAATTAATTATAGACAACCCCCTTATAAATCCAAAAACTACAAACATTTTCCTTAAAATATAAAAATTATAAACAACCTCTCATAAATCTAAAATTGTAAAAAGGCGTCTAAAAAATCTAAAAATTGCAAGAAGAGATAAAAAGAAATTAAAATTTTTTAAAAACAAAGAACTACCAGAAATTTTTGAATATTATAACCCACCAAAAACAAAAAATTTACAAACAAACCTTTTTAAAATCTAAAAATTAGGAACAACCTTCTAAAAAATCTAAAAATTACATAGAACCTTAAAATTAATAAATAACCATTATTAGGGGTTTTCTACCAAACGTTTATTGAGGTTAAGGGTGAAAAATAAAAAATTCCACATCCTTACTTGTATTTTTTGTTGTAAGGCGGAAAATTAAGTTATTTGCTTTTGGAGAAGGAGCAATAGTCCAAAAAAACTCAATATAATTTAGATTCTTTAATTGAAGTAATTTTAATTCTAGAAGCAAAACCACAACAAAAAAAGAAATTCATAGAGAACAAAAAAAATTAGATATGAAAATATAGAAAAACCAAATCAACCCGTCCGAGCATGGGCAAAACGCTTGTAATTGATACATCAAAATAAAATTATATAGTTATCCATAATTTTCATGTAGCATGTAATGTAACGTCAATGTGTCGGAGAGATTAATTCTTCGACTTTTTTAGTGTTTGCACGAGAGACATGTTCTCTTATAGGGGCTGAGGAACATATATTAGTACCAACTGGAAATAATAAAGAGTGAATTCACTCTTGAGAGAATCTAAGTGATCATAAAAAAACTAGAAATAATAACTAATCGTCTATCATTTAATGACTTGCGTTAATCTAGCATATTTTATGGGTACGTGTATGTGTGCGTCACACGAATAGCACGTGCGCTCAGTTTGCAGGCTCTTATCTGTACGTTGCTCATCAGATTAAACCTGTTTTTGCTTTAGATTTTTGTGATCAAAGATCATCTTGCCAAGTGGCCTGTTAAATTATTAATCTTGTAATTAATAATGCATTTTTCCATCGACACTGTTCATTCCAGCAGTCAAATGCGTACGGATATTGCTAACCCCAACAGTCAATCGTCTACAGTGTCCCTGTCTATTTTGTTCGGCCTTCTATGGGTAGGCAGCGCGGCTGGGGATGCACACTTCACGCTCACCGATGTGGGACTAAAAAGTCTCTCCGGACTGCTGCATTTCTTGCCAAGCTGTTGTACTTGTACCTTGTCTCTTTGTGCTGACCTTGGCTCAAACTTTTAATGAGCTCATAGACCCAATACTGGTCCCAAACTTCTCCACCTCTAATTAGCACTGTGGGGTTATGTAAGTGTAATTCATTACAGCTGCTTATCACTTCATGTGTTTTGAGGTGGGCAACTTTAGTTTAAGCTTAATTAATTAATTAAGGGGCCAACCTTTTAGTGTTGTGTCATTTCTTTTTGTGATCTTGTTCAGTCTTTGCTGCTTTAATTAGAAATGATCACGTCCTGCTTGATGACTAATTCTTTTAATTTGTTGCTGAAAGCAACAGTAGCTAGAATTTTGGCAAGTGTATATCTCTCTCTTTAAAAAAAATTTAAGTTAAAATGTTATTTTTGAGTGTTTGCAATTGAATTTAATTGATCTCGTGGTAGTCTATGTGACATTTTAGGACGTTATGTAAATCAACATGATGAGTGCTACATGTTTATAAGTGTAGATTAAATTCATGTGCAATGCACGTGACATGAAACTAATTGCTGGCAACAGGGCTGGTACCCGCAAATTTTCTCAAGGGAAGAAGGGTTGATTTGGAGAGACCGCTACTTGTATCATGAGTATTGATCAGTCTATTGGGTGAGTTAGCACTTATTATTCCTCCATGAGCTGTACCCATTTCTTATTTACACTCAAAAGACAAATCACAATTTCACAATAAAACAAAACAATGAATATGATGAGAATAGTAATCTCTCCACTACTTTTTCATAGTGGAGAGGATCCTAATTCGCCAGATTTTTCAATAGTAACGTGTGATTATATATGAGATCTAATAAAGATGAATCCTTGTAGGTGTAGGTATAAAATACTTATAAAAGGTATTCGAGTAGAATTGACAAATCATCAGATCTATTACAGTGAAGCCACAAGTTCAGACATGCCACAATCAAAATATATACTGAGGTTCTCTATTTATCACAAAACGTAGATGCAAGAATGTAAGGAAAAATTAGAAACGTGAATGAAATTGTGGAATATTGAGAGGACATAAAATTTTATCCCATTCACAGCTATACGTTGCTAATATCAATTGTTTAAAGTTGGCTCCTGCAAGGCGCTTATTGATACACTTCATTGACCTGAACAAAGAATTTAGTAAACAAGTGATGTAAATAGATCTTACCGAAGAAGCTAGCTGAACATTTATATTAAATTACCTAATCATTCAGAACCTTTGAGCCAATTTGCACCCTCGATTTAAATAACAGTTCATTGAACAATTAAAGTACATCGCTCACTGTTTACATTAGACAATAATAAATTGAGTTTAATTTAGATCGTAGAGTAAATTTGAAGTTTGATTACGTTGGCCTTACACCATTCTGATGTCACACCCCCAACAAACTCAACAAAAATGTGGATCCTCCTAAAACCTCAATTCATGATGAATGTAGTGGACTAGCAAGTCTAAACCTACCTAAACCCACTGATAACTACATTTAGAGTGATTGCAAAACTTTGCAATCAGGACATTATTAAATTAATCTGTCCACGGACAAGAAAAGCTATGTTCATATTTCCCTTCAGCATGATTAAAAACACCCTCCAATTGAGAACTTTTGATAATCCCCTATTAATGAAACCCCAAAAATTCAGTCCATGAGAAATGAAATCAGTTATGGAAGTTTGATGCACTTGGTTCACCGACTAAAGCTTAACATTAGGCCCTTATTAGTCCTCAAGCCTTTTTCTAAAGGAAGACGATAGCTTTGTGCTCAGGAACCTCCGGTAGTTTTTTTTGGTAAATGAAAATTTTTATTTCATCTCCAAATATGAAAGTTGTATTTACATCAATGATCTCAATGTGAGATATACCAGAAATATGTAGCTAAAACTCAAAAAACAGAGCTATAGCCAAGGCACTGGATTACAAACAGTAAACAATAGCCCTATATATGTGAACAGGTTCCAGCAATCCTCAGTGGTATAAACCTGTCCAAATCTGTGCACGTCTGTGCATGCTCTACAATGAAAGAATCCAGGCATCATTTTCAGAGGGGATGTTAGAGTTTAGTAGCACTGTCATGATATCAACTTTAATACCCTTTACTAGATGTTCAACTGGCCTGCTCTTTTGCTGAAAAACTCTCATATTCCTCTCATTCCAGATTGCATAAATGGTGGCTGACAGTGCCATTCTCTTAACCCTTTGTTTAATACCTCTTCCTTTCAATCTTGAACTGAACCAGTTTATCAAAATCTCCCAATGGCATGATCTCCAAGAGAATTGAAGCCAATCCATTATACAATTCCATACATCACTAGAATAAGCACATTCAAAGAATAGGTGGCTTCTGTTTTCCTGAAAAGAATCAGTACATAAGGTGCAGTGGTTTGTATTTATTATTCCCCTTCTTAACAGTCTGTCCTGGGTATTCAATCTGTTATTGACAGTTAACCAGCTAATGAATGAGTGTTTAGGATAGCATAAGCTCTCCCATATTGTATTGTGCCATTGGACATTACTGCTGGTTGGGTTTAAAGCATGGTATAGTGCAGATAACTTCAATTTCCCCCCCTTATAACAAGAACCAATCAACTGAATGAGGTTTCCTACTCCTCCACAGAAATTCAAAGCCTTATCCCTTGCTTTGATTAATTGTTTCCACATCCAAGAATCCCCCGATCTTGCTTTAACATGCCAAATATCTCTTTGCTTCAGATAGGTACCATGAATCCATTTAATCCACATTAATTCCCTATTAACATGAATATTCCATAAGTTCTTTAAGGCAGCTGCAAGATTCCATATTGAAGCAGAGAAAATGCCAAGGCCACCCAGTTTTTTTTCCCCCCTTGTAGCAAGAACCAATCAACTGAATGAGGTTTCCTACTCCTCCACAGAAATTCAGAGCCTTATCCCTTGCTTTGATTAATTGTTTCCACATCCAAGAGTCTCCCGATCTTGCTTTAACATGCCAGATATCTCTTTGCTTCAGATAGGTACCATGAATCCATTTAATCCACATTAATTCCCTATTAACATGAATATTCCATAAATTCTTTAAGGCAGCTGCAAGATTCCATATTGAAGCAGAGAAAATGCCAAGGCCACCCTGTTTTTTACCCATACAAACTCTGTCTCAGGATACTAAGGGGATTTTGGATGTTAGATTTGAACTCCCCCACAAATAATTCCTGCAGATTTCATCTATTTTCTGTGTTACTTTGACTGGTAATAAGTAATTTGAAGTCCAATAAATCTGAACTCCCAAGATGATGCTCTTAATCACTTGTAATCTGCCAGCATATGTGAGTTTCCTGTGCTTTTGCCATGTTTGTATTTGACTAGTAATCTTGTTTAAGAGAGAATTACAGTCTTCATAAGACAGTCTTTTGCATACTAGAGGAACCCCCAAGTATCTTATAGGGAAACATCCTTCAGTCAAACACAGTTGATCTTTGATTGCTGTTCTTACAGATTCTTCAACCCCACCAAAGAAAATAGATGATTTCTCTTTATTTGCTTCCAGTCCAGAAACATTACCAAAGTCAGTGACACACTGATAAAGTTTCTTAACAGAGTATAGGTCTCCTTTACCAAAGAGCAATAGATCATCAGCAAAGATTAAATGAGTAATCTTCATCTTGCCACATCTAGGATGATATTTAAACTGTTTATCCTGTTTCAAAAGGTCTAAGCTCCTTGACAAATACTCCATACCCAAAATAAAGAGATATGGTGAGAGTGGATCCCCTTGCCTCAAACCCCTTTCCCCCTTAAAGTAACCATGCAGTGTACCATTTAGGGAGATAGAGTATTTTGGAGTAGATATACACACCATGATCCAGTCAACAATTCTTTTTGGAAAACCAATCCCCTTAAGCATTTCGTGCAGAAAATTCCAACTTATGGTATCAAAAGCCTTCTTTATATCAATGTTTAACATGATTCTGGAAGATATATTCCTCCTGCTGTAACTTTTCACAAGTTCATGGGCCAATAAAGTGTTACTTGTTATTTGCCTACCCTTAATGAAAGCACTTTGAGCCTCATTAACCAAGTAGCCTAGCACAGATTTTACTCTATTTGCCAAGATTTTTGATATACATTTGTAAAGGCTATTACAGCATGAGATTGGTCTAAAATCTGAAGGTGTTTTAGGGCAATGTACCTTTGGTATAAGAGTAATAGAGGTTGAGTTTAATGTACCCAGAAGCTTCCCTGAAGTGAAGAATTCCTCCACTGCTTGAGTGATTTCATCACTCAAGCAAATCTCTTGATGTTAATCAAATTATTACGTTCATCATAGGTGGCGAGCCTTCATTACAAAGATGATCTCATGAATTTGTGGCAAACAAGCACTAGTGAACACATGTGCTGTGAAATGGATTTGCAAGAGGAGCTCAATCAAACTAAAGTAGGCTGAGGGAAAAAAAAAAGAGTATATTAAGATTTTGATCAAATTATTGCATGATATATGATGGAGAGCCTTCATTATAAAGATCATCTCACTTGTGGCAAACAAGCACTAGTGAACACGCGTAACATGAAATGAATTTGCAAGAGGAGCTCGATCAAACTAAAGTAGGTTGAGAAAAGAACAAAAAAGAGTATTTTAAGATATGAGTGTCCACATGTAATTTGAAAAAAGCCCCAATAAATAGAATTCTAATAAAATAAAATTTAGTTTATGTGAAGATTTAATTGTTATTTGGTATATATGAACACATAAAATTTGTGAAAAAATTGTGAGCATTAATTTCGTAGATTTTGGTTATTGCTTGCAATTTATACAAAACAGCATACTGTCTTCATTGAATTGATCCTTATGAATTCTGAAGGACATGATTAAGTGCACTTTACACCATTAATGTGATCATCTTAGCAAGGCGGTGCTTCGACCTTTTGATTGGAAGAGACTTTGACTTGTTGATTAATTGGAAGACACTTTGGTTAACTTGCTAATGGATCGATCGTCTACTACTAATCTTCTCCAATTAAAGAATTCAACCTTAACAATCTTAGTAATTTGAACAAGAAAAATATCCACCATGTGCTTTGCTTTCTTATGATTCTTCTGATATTGGCTAGCAGGCTAACTTCTACGTGCAATAATAAACTAGAATTATGTTTTTATGCTGGATAATTTGATTACACACACGCACGCAGGCACTGTAATATAGCTTTCCAACAAAAAGTAGACATAGCAAAGGGCAAGCTGTATCCAATAAGTAGTCTTTTAAGATACATAATGAACTAATTATGTAAAATAAAACTTTATGGTAATATTCCTCGTCCTAGTTATCAATCAATTGAGTAATAGAAATATCCACTAAACATCTTTAAATGATCATTTTTTATTGTCCATTAGTAAGCTGTACTAGAACAAAGCATCTGTATAAATTAGTCAACTTAACCGCGTATCATAACATATATACATGATATTTCAATTACACTTGTAAGACTAAGAAAATATCATTAACCATCTTTGTATCTATTTGTGATCGATGATAAAGCAGTTGAAAAGAGTATAACCAAACCCTATCACAAGTACCCCATACCAAAGAAAGGTTACTTTGTTTCACATAATCTAATCTAACGCTAAAAATGCAGATATGAGAAATCACAAATAAAGGCTGTTTGACAAAATCAATGATGGGCTTAACCTTTGATCACCCCCTACCTTTTTCATGTATATATCTCCACAAGGTTTCTGCTTCAAGGTTTCATTTTGCATCATCATCCTACCTAGTCTTCTTGTAGGTCAGACATCCAAAGTTATCCATGAAAACTTTGCAAAGTTTTATTCTCCAAAATAATTAATAATAATACTAATAGTAACTTTAAAAATTCATCTTGTAATTTTCAATGAACTTTTTCCCATCTTACTCTACCACTACTTGTTTGAACTTTAGAAAGTTGTTATAATTTGTATCCAATCAACCACACCTAAACCATTGTCTACTAGTCCAACCTAATCCCTCCAAAACTTTACCTGACGCTCTCAAAAGTTGATTTAAGAGAGGCTTGCATTTGTATTAATATCTATTATGAAGCTCGTTAATGTTCTAATTAAATAAGTCTGCAAAAGATTAATTGAAAACAAAGTTGCCTCTTTGGTACTGCATGATGCAGATAAATCTAAGGCCACATGGAAATCATTTATATGGGTGAAGTTGGTAAAGCATTTTTTGGGGATTAATTATGCAAGAGAAGGAAGATTAATAATCCTTTTCTAACTCAAAAGGTTACACTGCGGAGGCCTGTCATATTGGGCTATATTCTCATTCATCATCTTCAACTACGAGCATTCGTGTACAATTTATAATTTAAAAATCTTCATTATCTATATCTTGGCTAATTATTTGATTATTGTCAATGTTTTAGATTACACTCAAGTGAAGTGTGATACCTAATTAAATTCCTACAAGTCTGATACTTAATTTCCGACAGTCATATCTAGTTCTGACGCAGGTATTGATTTTTTTAAAGCCCCAACTTAGTCTAATTTAATCTCATTTCAAACACACTTAATATTTACACTCTGACTATTTCTTGTTTTCTTAATATGAAATTTCTTGTTTAGTATCAAGATAGACCCTTGTCAAAATGCGCGGTTGGCCAACTGAATCACAATCTTGCAGCTGTTAAGAAAAAAATATTAGTGCATCTATTTCAAAAGAGGTGAGATTTTGATAGCTTTATATCTGTTAAGCTTTTTTTTTTCCATGGTCCCTTTGGCCTTGAGAGGTTTTGTGACTGTATGTATTCAGTCAAAATTCTCATGATTGTGGTTGACCATTGAAGTACAAAACTGTTTGACACAAACAGTAATAGGATTCCTATTGTCCTGCTTTAAGTTTTGGACATTTTTAAATCAAGGCTTAGAGCAAGTCAAAGGGATGGCAAAATGAAATAAAAGAGTGTTGACTCATTTGCCGTCACACACAAATCACACTTCAATTTATTTATTTACTAGGAGAGATACACGTGCATGCACGTGGTTATTTGTTCGGTTTATTTCTTTAGTATAACTTAGTTGTAAAAAGTATTTTTTTTATTTTTAAATCTCAACTTGATGATATAATATTATCTATGAACTTTCTTAATACTTACATTTATGTACCTTCAGCTTTTATTTTATGTGTCATTGTGATCATAAGTAATGTAAGCTACAAATTATTGGAAAAGATAATTCGCTTATAAACCATGAACAATGTAAGGTACACATTGTTCGAAAAAATTATTCGCCTATATAGCAATCAATTTCTTCAACTTTCAAGAACTCCCACTTTTAAAGTAAGTATATGATTTATTTATTAAACGAGTTTGGTTCTCTTATATTCAGTAAATAATTAACTTTCTTAATCATGACTATTTATCATTTAGTGGACATTTATAAAAAAAATTCCAATTTTAGGACAAATCATTTTCGTTCTTAATATAGATATATGAATGGTTCACGACTCAAATTCTTTTTCTGCACCATTTGTTATGAAAATTAGATTAAGAAATAAAACTTGATGTGAAGAACAGAAATGAAAAATATTCATGAGTACACAAATTACATGAAACAAAAAACTTAATTAAGATCTCTAGCTGATCTGATGGTAAGACTCTCCACCAGCAAATTAGAAGTGGTTTGGATCTAAAAGCCCTTCAAGAACTAATTTGTGACAGCGTACCACACTACCAAAGTGAAAAAGTTACAGATGATGCTAGTGTTATACCAACAAATCAATGTGATCAAACTTAATCGCCATGATTCTGAGGAACTTCGATACGTCCATTTTATTTATTTTTCTCTGCACCACATGATTGCTTAAATAAGTCAGCACGGAAATCACATTTCAAAGCAAATATGGCAACTGAAGTTACACGTCTCGAGTGTTCATAATTTGTTCTCCTGCTGCTATTTTGAGAGTACATACATCCATATTTGCTTGTACCTTCTTAAATGCTTTTAGAAGATAAAATTTTAATCATCAATCCGCATCACAAGTTCGGAATTTATATCTTTCTCATAATAATATGAGTTTTAGACCATCTTTTCCCTCAAAAAAAGTTCATGAAAGAAAATTTAAGATGGTATCTGTTAGAAATTGGGTGTAGACCCATACCTGTCAGCGGCGGCGAGCTCGAGGTCGACGTCACGACCTTCAGGCGAGATCGAGACCCACTCTGGCGAGGCGGCATTGCAGGCAACCTCGAGATTTGCTGGCGAGATCTGAAGTCGACAGGCGAAGTCGAAGCTACAGGCAGAGCTGAATGGTGAGCTCGTGAAGGGCTGCAGGCAAACTTGAACTCGAGCGGGTCCCACGTACAGGTGAGGTCGCGAGCGAAGGCGAGCTCGAAGAGAAAACAGGCGAGCTCGGGTGTTTCCTTCAGGCGAGTTTCAAACGGCCCTACAGGCGAGCCTTGATGCGGACGAGTTTAATGTTTCCCTCTTTCGCCTGCGTTGGATTGGAATAGCTGGATCCAGCTGTTTGGCTAGGGTTTCCTTATTTAAGGAAACCCTGTGCACGAGAGAACTTTGCAGCCGCGATTTTCTTCTTCAAAGCGTTAAACTCCTGGAGGCGGCCATTAATTTGAGCCTAAGATTTTCAGAGGAAAATCACGCTCATTTATTTGTGAAGTCCTGTA